CCTGATCCAGACGTTCGAGTGCCTGTGCGTAGTACGAGTCTATATGATATCCTGGGAACGCCGGGAACAACGGCGGATGGACTATGCGCTTCCCTTGGGCGTTCCTGAGCGCTGTTTTGAACGCATAAAAGCTAGATCGATGAGCGGCAATCGCAGGAGATGTTTCGATTCCTTGGCAACTAGTTCTTCTCCCTTGCGTCGATCGCCCCAGAACGGATCGAGCACGATTGATGCGACGTTTGCGAGCTCGAACATGTTATTGACTGGCTTCGATCTTGCTAGATCTGAGCGCAAACTCGGTAGAGCCGTCTGTGCCTTGGTGCGGAAGATGTTGCATGTGCACGGATGGAAGAGATGCAGCGGATCTTCCTGGGCGGCCCGACGTCGACTCTGAAACAGATCTTTTGAGAGTGGATTCTTTTACATTTCTTAGGTCTGCCCCTTTTTCTTCTTTGCTTAGCAGTTTGAACTGGTTCATCATCAACACCTGTTGGCAACCTTTTCAGGAGATCAAACTGCACTTTTAGCGGCTCGGCATTACCGGCAATAGGGGTGATTAACGCACTGTTATCACTGAGCCCTATAACTCTGAAGGGGCCATTCCACTCATTTGCGAGTTTTGGATGGGTAGACGTGCCCTTTTCCATGGGGAATGCGCATATACACTCTCTCCCCTACGGCAAAAGGTCGTTCGACGACCTTTTTAGTCTCGTCGTAGTAGCGTTTCATGCGTTCACGCGCTCTCTGGTTTTCAGCACGCGCAGACTCCCTGATCACTTTCAAGCCCGTTACTAATTCATTAACATAGGAATCGATGTCTACCATATATTCACTTACAGCTTGCTCCGGCACCGAATTCCACGGTATTTTACAGTCAAATCCATGCATCAAAAAAGAACGGGGATTCGCCAGTCGAATCATGGGCTAGTATTGTATGCAACCATACAATGTGGTAGAAGCTTATCCCACTCCATCGGAAGGTCCACTTTCTTCCTCAGCAGTCCAATTATGCTTCTATTGAACCTCTCGGTTAGCCCGTTCTCGCGCGGATTGCATCCTTTGGTGAATATTTGCCGGATTCCCATCAAATGTGTGAGTTCTGTCATCAACTTATTATCAAACTCGCCACCTTGATCTGATAGTATACATTCTGGAATGCGGCGCCCATCCGCCATCCAACGCTCAAAGAGCGTGCGAGCTACGACTTGAGCCGATTTTGTTGGTAATGGATATGCTCCTCCAAACTTCGTGAAATGGTCTATCACACTCTGAATGTACCGGTTGCCATTTGTTGTTAATCCTATTTCATGTCGATTCCCACCACTTCAAACGGTTTCGTTGTTATAACTGGTTTGAGTGGAGGGGTGACTTGCGGTTTTGTGTTGAATAAGACGCACTTTTTGCACTCCTCCGACCACAGAAGCACGTCTCTCCGCATGGATTCCCAGAACACGCGCTTTTCCAAAGACTTCAGCACTTTCCGCGGCCCAAAATGCCCTGCTAGTAGCGAAGCATGTGCGTCTAGGAAAACGCTCTTCCGATGTTCCTTCGGGACTACCTTCCGAAAACTGTAGTTATCGATGAAAGCGAGATATCCATTGTGCATAGCGAAGTCCGCTACTTTATAATTGCGGTTTTGATCCGGGAAACTGACGCCTTCCATCGGTTTTGCTCCAGTTTTTCGATGTCACCATAGATGCTGTCTTTACGCAATTCCGTAGTCCAGCTTGGCTCTCCTGTCATGGTAGCTACGATATTCGCATTGGACAGGGCTTCTGTGGATGCTAGAAGCGAGTTATCATCCACAGGACCACGGCTGAGTGCGTCAGCTACTTTGTTGGCCGCCCCTTTGAGGTATACGATTTTGATGTTGTATTTCTGAATTTCTAGTGCCCAGCGGAGAATCCGACCTGAGACGTTAGTTCTTGTAAAGAGCGCGTTAGTGGCTGATGGTCTGTGAAGACTTCTATTTTCAGCCCGTAGACAAACATATGGAACTTCCTTAATGCGAATACCACGGATAGAGCTTCAAGATCTGTTATGTGGTAATTCATTTCGCTCTTCGGAAGGCTTTTCGCGAAAAATACTGGATGAAGGGATCCATGTTCCCCTTCTTGACTACCGCGCCCAGCCCAGAGTAGCTCGCATCCGTATGGATTTTAAACGGTTTTCTGCCATCTCTTGCTCCTTCAATGTCTGGTCGTGCAAGAATAGGAGCTTTGGTAATGATTTTCTTCAATTCGCTAAAAGCATTCCGTCTTGCTTGTGTCCAGGTATAGGGTTTTTTTTCGGAAGGCATTTCGTGAAGAGGTCCAGCAATTTTGGAAAAATCCAGGACGAATTTTTGATAATAGGAACACATACCAAGAAAAGTACGCATCTCAGCTATTGTCTGCGGCTCAGGATACTGCACAATTGCCGCAACTTTCTGTGGGTCCATATGGAGCCCATCCTGGTCGAATGTCCGAGGAATTGTATCGTGCTTTCCACTAGGGAGCATTTCCTAGGATTTAGTTTGAGGTGTGCATTACGCAGAACGACCTAAGACCTTTTCTAGCATCTCCAGGTGCTTTTCATAGGTGCTTGTCGCAATCAGTATGTCATCAAGATAGCAAAAGAGTTTGTCTGTAAGGAGATGCCCCAAGACTAAATGAGTTTTATTTGCCAGAATCCAGAGGCAAGATCTAGTGTAGAAAATAGCGTTTTACCTTTGAGGTTTTGCAAGATTGTATCTATAGTCGGTAAGGGGTAATTGTGTATTTTTGTGACTTGGTTGAGCTTTCTATAATCAACACACAGTCTCAAGGATCCGTCTTTCTTTCGGACAAGAACTGGGGAGACCCAGCTGGATTCGCTGGCTTCATTTACATTCCTCTCTTATAGGTCTGACAATATCTTGCGTAGTTCCAGCCGCGTTCCCAGCGGTACTGGTCGAATAGGCAGTGACGGGCCTGTTTCGATGTCATGCTCCACAAGAGAAGTTTGTGTCAATTCTTGATCCGATGCTGCAAACACATCATTATATTTAACCACCAGTTCTCTTAGAGATTGTTGGTTTTTTACGCTTTCCTTTCCCATGGCAAAGTAGTTCCAAAAGATGTTGTTCGCGTTCATGAACTTTATCGCAGGTACGCTCCAACATGTCTGTGTATTCCGCAGTGGGTTGCTCTACAACTGTGTTCGCGTCCTTCTAACTTCCTACTTTTTCTCCCACACGGAATAGTCTAGCTTGGTTCAACGTGTTAGTAACAGGTATTTCGACAACAGATTTGTCATAATTACAAACAGTATCCGGAATAACCTCACAGTTGGACCACAAGATCTGATCCGTGTTAGTCTCTGCAATAGAAATTGCCACCGCTTTTGTTTCTCCGGGAGGGATGTACACTCGCTGAACCACCACAGCTGAGCGTGCGCTGCGGTAATCGGCCTTTGCCTTCTTCTGTTCTTTTGAGGAGCTTTTACGAGGAAGTTGGTCTTTCCGTGGTCGCAGCTGACCAAATGTCGATTTGACGGATTCGCTTTCTTCTTTTAGTGTCATGTTGAACTTTTCCAGCGCGTTGGTTCCGAACACAATCATGTCGTCGTCTGATTTTCTGACGAACATCGCCACTTTATGTAGTTGTCCGTTTTTCAGTTCTGCTGTCAAACGTATTGCCCCTTTGAATTCCATCTGGTTTCCTGAGGCATCGTAAATTGTCTTCTCCCTAGGCGCAGGGCTTTCTTCGATATTATCGTCCATATCGAATCCTGCTTCTTGCGCCTCAAGTAGTATTCTGAGTGGCATGATACTGACTTGGGATCCCGTATCCAGTAACGCAAGCTTTGACATGCCTAACAGATTGACTTCCGTGACAGTATGCTTCCCAAAGAGTTCATTGTACGCCGATGGTCTATCTTGAATTTCTTTGCAACTCCAACGCTTCAACGTGGTGGTGAATGTTTGAGTTCTTGTGGTGTCTTTCCGTTGGTCATTAATGGAAGACCGTATCTGGCCCTGCTCCTGACTTTTTACCGGTAGCTTTTGCTCAGTCTGAAGCTGTTTATTTCGCATATCCCGAGCTTTACAGCAATCTCTTCTGAAGTGTCCGCGTTTATTACAAAACGAACAAGTGACTGTTTGTCTGTCTTCTCTGAAGGATTTCTGCCGGCCCGTGTTGCCACCGCTTGAAGAAGAAAGAGGCTGAGCGTGTTCGCCGTCATCAATTCGCTTAGTGTCTGGATGGTTGCTAGAATGCGACCTACTAGAAAACCGTACTGCGTTGGCCACCTGGCGGCTTCGCCCAATGCATTGTGCCAGACTCTATAGCTTTTCATAGGCCTCTTCCTGAGTTGACTGCTCCAAGGTGCTGAACAGTTGCACGTACTCCTTCCATTCTGTGAGCTGTGTTATGAGTTCTCCTGCACGTATCATCGACAGCTCCTTTTCACTCGCATCTTGATATGCTCTGCGAGTCAATTCCTCCAGTAGTCTGTTACCGAGGAGTTTCCTGAGTTGCTTCAGCTTTATGTATACTTCTGTACGTTGAGCCGAATCATTTTCTTTCAATTTAACTCGCAAGGCTTCGATAAAGTTGGCGTACGTGCCCTCTCGAACACTTCGAGGCAGGGTCTCCATTACTGATTTTGGGTACCCTTGCAACTTCGAGCACATAAGGTGAATCAACATGCTATCCTGTAACCCTAATCCACCATATTTTATATGGAATGAGGTTACAAAAGTTTCGAAACCTTTTCCTTGTGGATGGGAGAAAATGGGTACGTCCGGTAATGCCATGGCCGCAAAAGTTGTCCCTACACTCAACTCTGGTAAAAACTGAGATGAAATGGGAATCCTATCTTGGCTGTTCTGCCTCGGCGTTGCGGTCGTTGGCCTCTCTCTGTATCCTGGCAACTGCAAAAAGGCATCATTAGGAACTTTGAAGTTGGAATGCTGAGATGCCAGATTGTAACTTTCATGTTTCCTTATGTCTGAGGGGGGAAACTGACCTTGCTCAGCGTCAGCTTGATCGAAACGCGTAAGCTCTGCACGGTGAGGAAGACTTCCTTCTCGCACCTGCATCATGGCCGTTCTGAAGTCAGCCACATTGCTCGTACTAGGAGTGTCCACATCCATTGGCTGTTCTCTCTGAAACTGGTCTACCGTAATGATCAGACATATAATTCCTGTGACCCTGAGCATTCTTAGTATAATTTGCCATAATTCCACTACGCTCATCGGCGCCTTTACGCTTGCTGAGGCAGTTCTTCACTGCACGGATGACTTTGGTTGAAGTCACCTGGAGCAAACGCGCCAATTCTCGCATGCACTTATCATCGTGTTGCGCCTGAGCGTAGAACTCGTTCTGCTCAGCTGCCATTTGTTCGTAGTTGTAGTCGTTAAATTGCAAAATTTCGACTATCAATTGATCAATATTGGAAACTTCGTCATTTATGATGTTGTGGCTCTCGCAAGAAAGTTCTGTAATCGCTTCAGCGACATCTCCACGGTTTTTCTCCACTGCCCGTGAGCTACTACCACTCCAGAGGTTTTCCTGCACCCTTTCTGGGAGTGCTTGCAGCCCCTGTACCTCTGCTGGTATGATATATATAGAGGATCTTACCTGGGCTGCTTGCTGGGTGAGAGCCTGGACCTGTTCCATGAGCATCTTCACCTAAGACTGGAGATTCGTGACGCGAGCATCCTCGTCACTCTCCAGAGCGAGCATTTTTTTTATCGAGATTGTCGTCTGTCATTCTGAAATATATATAGTATATGAACGACTCAATGCTCACTCTTTCCGACGGACAACGACGGAATAAGCCGAATAGCGCGAAACCACGACTCAAATGCGCTTTAAGAATAACCTATATTCTGGTGCACTCGGTTAAAAGTAGCTTCGCGGTTCCACAACCACGATAGCTATTGTTTATGAGAACAACAGAGGAGCTACGCGATTATCTGCTGCGATTTACGCTGTTTCCTTCCTCAATTCAATCGTTGTTCCTTCTGGCAAGCTGACCGCAATCAACCGTTACCTGAGCTTGCGTAATCGAGCTCTTCCACTAGCTCCGGGAAAGGCTTTCGAAACTGCTCTGCAAAAAAAATTTGCGTAGAGTTCTGAATTGTAAAACTGCTTTCCCGCCCACTAAGGTTGACAGTGGATAGCTATCCAACCGACTTAGTGGTGCTACCCCACGGTAGCTGTACAGCTCCACCGCGATTAGCGGCTCTTGAGCTGTTTGCACTGTTAGAAAGCTGGAGGGGAACTCCGCTTCCTAGTGCTAAAGTTAAGGGATTTCTTTTTGTCTAGCGCTTTAACCTAGGCGTGCGACCACGTTCCTAAAACTCGGCCCCCATGCAGGGTTCATATGACTGGCAGTCTGCTTCAGATGTCCAGAGACGTCCCGTAGTCACACGTTTATCGTTAAGCACCAAAACAGCAGGGTAGCGGGAGGCAGTTGGCCGTCGAGCTGTCGAGAAGAACTGAACTGAACTGAACTGACTAACTATCGTACTGGCCAACCCCTCCCTTATATAGCACAGAGGCGGGGCTTATTGATTCCCGCTCACTTCTCTTCAAATTCTGAGGATACAGGCAATGAGGATGACGAAACAACCGATCGGCTTCGATCGATCGAAGAAACAGCACCGTGATGAGTATCAAGTGGATAACAAGAACTGTGCATGTAACATAACAAGAATGACATAATAATAACATAGCAACAGTATAATAATAGCAGATTGTATCTACACTTATTTGTAATTGTTTACTTCTTTATTTACTTATTTACCTGTTATTTATTCTACAACAATCCAAGGATCGCCCGCCGAAGGCGGGCGATCCGACTGGGCCTCAGTAGGAATGCCAGGGACCCACTTCACACGCGGAAGGAGGATCGCCCGCCGAAGGCGGGCGATCCGACTGGGCCTCAGTAGGAATGCCAGGGACCCACTTCACACGCGGAAGGGGGATTGCCACCGAAGGCGGGCGATCCTACTGGTGTACTGAATTGTGCTTTTCAAGATAGAACGCGTTTTGATCCCGCTCCAAGTCGCCAACAGTGTAATTTGCACAATAGTTCGTTGAATTTTCTTACTACTATTTCTTGGTAAGAAAGTTTTCGCAAGCTGTTTTCACTATCTGACTTCGTTCCTCTGCCTTTTTCCATTATCTTCACTGTAACCACTAAGCCTCACACATTATTTTTGAACGACACTACCAAATAGCGCGTTACCTTCGAAAGGGACTGCCTCAGGGTACTTTTCTCAAAGTCAAGACTAAGGTTTCTGGAATAACAGTTCAAAACTTCTGAGAATTTTGCTATTAATTACTTTTCCTTGAATTTTCCTTGTTGGCTAATTTTGGTCTCCAGCTTACGTTCTTGCTCTGTCTGACTCATGCAGCTGTTGTGTATCTGACGTAGTAAAGGCTGCTAAAAACTATTGGGCTAAAACTCGACTCGCCGGTTCTATTATTTGCGATCCAAACGTTTGGCTGTCCAAGTATAAAAAGGCCATTCAGGAATAATGTATCTTCGCTATAGGAGAGAACCATAATGCATGAATTGAAGGTTAGTCTGAAAAGAATGTCCATGATTGTTTCAAAAAATGTCAATTGCATCATTAGTGCACTCAGTCGGAAAAGAGCTACTGTGTAGGGGATTAAATGGATTTCAACCAATAAACAAAGGCACCTCAATTCATAAATCAAGTCACCTAGAAATTCGATCACAGAAGAACATAGGTAGGGCTTTTTGTTCTTAACGGCTTAAAGATAGAGAAATTAATTTTCTCGACGGCCTAATACTTATGACCTGAAAAAAACGTGAGGGTTCTCACGAAAGTAACTAATTCATTGTCGCAGTAAAGCAAGAAAGTTTGACATTTCTGCTTCTAATAATGTCGTGCGATCGGATATACTATGGAATAAGTAACAAGAAGTATTGATCGAGTGAGTTCCGCAGCTAACGGGCCGTTAGCTGCGGAACTCACTCGATCAAGGATTAGTCGCGTAATGGTTTTTTTTGGGTACAAGGCACTGAATTAAGAAGGCCATAACTCGAGTATAGCCGGAGACCAGCAGCGTGGAATACTCACCGTTTTCCCAAAGTAATAATCAGTAAAAAGACTTGATCGTAGACGATAATATGTTAGCTCGCAAAACGATAGCCGAAAAATTTTTAGGGTGTGGCAGTTCCTTACTCAAGAAAAAACTTCCGTTTTAGAGTATCAGTGCCATTCGCTCAAAACAACGGATACTTTCTAGCCGAGCAAAATTATGGCGAAATTATGGCGAGAGTAGTAAACAGCAGTTTTCAGTTGTTCCCGTTCAAGACGCTTGGTTACGACAAAGGTCGGATGCGAAACGAGAAAAACGAGGAGCTTTTTCCGGGTGTATTGAACAAAGTGAGAATTCCGTTCAGGAGACTTGAAAAATTCCCTATGAGACCATTATTCTCTCATTGCAATCTACGCAGTACAATATATTAGTAATGTTTGTAGGTGAAAGCAACTTTCTGGCCGCCAGCATATTTCCCCGGAATGAGAACAAAGCAGTTCTTCTTTTGGCGATCTATGAAGGATCACACTGAAGGAATACCTAAGGTGGTTTTGTCCATTGGTGCTTTACGTTGGCAAAACTGACAATAAGTCAATTAGAGAGCTTCATCACTTGCACATAAGGTCGCAGCAGTTACCGCTGGAAGGGTACTCGGGATGATCATTTTTTGGTTATGATCAATGGTTTACAGACAATGATATCAGGACAATATTCGTTTAGATTGAGCCATCTCCTACTGTTCGCTTTGATCCTCCGCTGTCAAATGCCCTTCGCTACTACCTCCTCGCACAATGGGCGCTTCTTATGTCATGTTTTATACAATTCGATAAAATCCGTATGTTCCTCGACTGGCCTGAGTTCATTTGTAGATTTGGCTTCATAATTTTCTTCATACAAATGTTTGGATATTATTTCGACCACAGGTGAGCCGTTTTTCAAGGTAGCCAATAGGATGAGTGATCTTCAGGTGTCATGCCTCTTACCTTAACATTCAGTCGTTTTGCCCTGATCTTCGACCCTATACGGCTGATACTCTCTATGTTGCTTGGATTTTCTCTGAGCGACTTCACAATGATCTTGTACAGTTTAGTATCGTTGTCATTGGTCGTATGGCTTGTTTCAGCAGGGAAAATATGTGTATCTTGCGGCTTCACGAAGGAGGGCTGTTCTGATTGAATTATCTCGTCGTTTCCCTTGTAATATATGTCCAATATGATGATGTAAGACAGGGCAGTAATTAACGTGAAAATATATGGATCCTTGCTAATAAGCTTTTCTTTATGTGTCATAGTTCGGTGAATCTGTAACTTCATGATGGATTTATTATGTCGTTGAAGAATTGGCTCACAATCGCCAGCTTAATTGTTGCATGTCGCCAATGATGTTACCGAAAGATAAGATTGAGAAGGAGAGAAGTTAAGAACAGCGAGTGAAGTGCTTACTTGTTCATCCCTATTTAGCGATCTCTAAGCAGGATATCCGAACGAAACCCAACATCCCACATCCTGAAGACATGAGTTACTGATATAGCGTTCACTTTTGGCATAAATTTTTGGATTTTACAAATAAAGTCTCCCGAAACTAAAGTCAGCCCCTCGAAAACTCACTACCCACTTACCTAGAAAGTGATCCTTCTTGTGTGTCACGATATTGTCCGATAAAACAAGAAGTGAGGATATTAGTTGACTTGAGGCGGAGGTGATGTACTGGCAAATGACACGCTAACCACGTGGGTGGTCTTGTCCAGGCCAGAGGAGCCAAACCTCCTGACCTCCAAGAACGGTGAACTGGAACCAGATTCTTCTGGGATAACAGCTTAGACTGTCCCCGTAGTTTATAAGCCACATCGCAGTCAACAAGCCACTACGATTCTCATGGAAACAGAATGCGTACCCGCATCGCAAACAGGGGTTGGTCACCGGCATAGACTTTGTAAGTGCTGTTCGGCTACGGGGGAGGGTATTTAGCCCTTCCACTGTTTTGTCACTTCCGACATTTACAAGTCCCACTCTGGTGAAACTTTTGAGCTCTTGTTAAGCTGAGCAAGGTCGTCTAGCTACCATGACAAGGCGTGTCAATTCAGGGAAAGGCTATCTAGAGGTCGACACATCGATGGGAAGAAAATGAATCCCCCTCACCCCGATTTTTCTGCGGAGCCCCAAACTTTCGGCGAGTGTCCCGCCCACTGTGGGCGGGGCTTCCCATAGGTCAAGTGTGCTTTTTATTTCTTGTCCCATGCCCTACCCATCCCCACCTTGACCCGACCTCCAAGTCGTTCTTCAGGTCGAACCGAATTTCCGGACAGACAAACAAACTTACAAACAAACAAACAAACAAACGAAGCGAATTATATATATGGCGTGATGGAGTGATAGTCCATAATACACAATCGTATGCTAAATGTATTCCCTCTAACAGATAAATGGCGGTAATAACCTTAGGAGGGGTGAGCTTTCAAGATTGTGTCTGACCCTGTAACTTTTAAGTCCTATCAAGTATCTTGTGAACTCCTATCAAGCTTGACTAAATGCTCTAGCGTTATTGGAACGCCATTCTCCAATTTTTCCAAATCCCAACCAGTCATTTTAACAAGTTTAACAGGAGTTCACAGGGTGCACAGGTAATAACAAGACTTACAGGGTGTTGACAAGGCTGCCTAGTACTGACATGTATGCAGTTTGCAGGATTTGGTATAGTGACAAACCCTTAAAGGTGTACCCCCCTTACAAGTTATGAGCCAGATTCAAAGATTGGTTTTCAGAATGACAGCCATGACGTTTGTGCTGTTTACAATGCGGTGTGAGAGTAATTACAATGAAAATGGTTGGGGGTCTAATGACGATCTCGTGCCAAATAAATTGGTACACTTGAAACGCCGTTATTGCTAGAGTGGCAAAAGTCTTGATTGGATTAGGGTTGTGAAGGGTCGAGCTACATGCCCAGTCATGTGCAGTCATTGTCACAGAAGGGAGTCGGGTCGGCAGAGCTAGGGTTTCGGGGCAGCGCCAGCTCCGGGTTTCATCAACCGCTGGTGGACCTTTCGGAGGTCAATGAGTGTTAGGGGAGTGGCGGGCGCCCCTTCAAAACCACCTGCTGCTGCTGCTCGCACCCCCTAATTGACTTCAGCGTTATCCACCCTATATACATGGCACGTCCTGGCGTTGAAGAGTATTTTCGCTGAATACGACCCATCCCAACGGTTTTCTCCCCCAGAAGTTCGGGAGTAGACACCTTCGATCAACTATCAGATAAAGTACTAATTTTGAGACGCCGATGACTGTAAAGAGTGAGGCATTTACTTCAGAAAGTCGTTATTCCGCACAGGGCACTAGTGGTACACAGGAGCATAAAATGAAAAAAACGGCATTCAAAAAAATTTGTGCCCACCTCCCCTTTTAATCCAGCGACCATATACGACCGCCCCCCTCATTAAGTGTATACAAGGTAGGACGTGCTCCATGCGTGTGACGTGCTGACTATAGGAATGTGACAAGACAATCGTTAGGGGCCACGTTGGTAGGCGCGGCGAGCGATGCCACGCCAAACGGACGAACCCTGTCTGTCTGAGGCCTGTCCTCCCAGGCCTCTTAGAGTTGAGTGTTGAAGGGACGGAAAAATCCTATATCGCCCATTATGGATTCTTGCTTCCGTTGAAACGAGTTTCGCATGACTCGGAACGCACCGCGCATCGTCGCAACATACGCCGCGCGCGACGAAGGCGACAAAAAAACGGTCCTTTTGTCCATGGTTGTAATGCATGCATAAGATGGCACGGAGAGGTTTTTACATATTGAGAAAATGACGCTAGGATAAATGAATGTAGGTAGAGTAGCCCGGATGGCCTTATAAGTGTGGTGCACTTTCTGCAACCGCCACCCCATCAGGTTTCCGCATTGCATTTTCTGCTCTGGACGAGTCGTACGCATCAGCTCGTTTATGGTTCATGTGGCAAAAGACTGAAAGTCGCTCAAGAACGGATTAAAACGATCAATTGGCCCGCAGCTGCCATTAGGCAGTGCACGTGTATTTGACAAGACATTCACAATTCGCCGCGTGCGACCTCGCGCTACAAGCGA